AGTGAGCGTCGCACTATCGCCACGAAAGCACCGACGCAAGGCCCGACGAGAAGAAAAGAAAAGACATAAAAAACTATTCGAGAAGCACGAAACGGCTGCACGGAACAAAAAATAGTACATCCGACACGAGGGAGCATAATGTTTCCCGTCATCAGTGCGTTTCGCGCCATCCATAATAATGGCGCCGCGAGCGCCGATAGAGAAATAAAGTTCTATCGTAAAGCAGTGCGTTTCTATGGTCGCCTCGCTGTCTGCGCGCGCCGCGTAACAAGCGTCGCGGGCGAAAGGGCATTGTCTCGTCCCTGACATGGGCGCGCGCGAGAGAAAGCGAGCCGAAGCCGCTGCCCCGCGCGCCAAGCGACCGAATCTTGCACCGAGCCAAGCCTCTCGAACGACGGCGCGGGCGCCCTGGAAAATTTCGAGCCGTTGTCCGCGCGCGGATGCGCTTGCGCTTCTCGCTCCCAACTTTCACCTCGCTCGCGCGGCTCGGACGATCAACTTCGGCTTTACTCGCTTCCAAGCAATGCCCACAGTTTTCTATCTGTCGACGTCGTAGATCTTACATCTAACACGCTTCCTTCTCTGACTTTACGTAAGCTGTACACCGCTAAGCGGTGAGCCAGCGAAAGAGGTGTATGGAGTTAACGCTTGAATTTTCGACAGTACAATGCGCCTTGTAATATTTTTTAGAAAGTCCTGTAGGATTTACTCTTCGGGCTGCAGGTTGCACAATCATTTTATCTCTGGCTATGCATCGTTCAATTGTTATCTGCTATTTTGTAAAACTGACTTTTCAGTACTGTGTGCAGTTTATTTATAATAATTCGAAATTCGATGTTTTTATCTATAGTTACTTTCGTCAACGCCTACTTAGACTTTTACAAGTCTTGAGTATGCCTCGCGACGAGCAATGATTTTCAGTAATGATTTGAGTTACGTACTTGTTTGAAGAGTTTATCGAGTTGTTTGGAAAACTGATTTACATAGCGACAGACTTTGCTCACTCAGTAGCATCAATTTGTCAACCTGTAGCAATTAGAATGTGCTTCAAAGCAGGTGAGCTCCCAAACCACTTTAGAATGCAAGCTCACTGCTTTCTCCGGTAGGTCGCTGACAATCTAACCTTTCAATACTAACTCGAAAAGTGTTTATATAATTTTGTCGTTGAACACGTTAAACGGTGATTAAAAGTGGGGTCGCATCCCACACTTGAATGACTCTACCATCCATCCGTAAGAGGGCTGATAAACTATTTCCGAGTAAATTTAACAAATTACTGTCCGAGCCATCATATATTAATGTGACTTTTAAATCGGCTAAACTTATATACTTCCAGATGAAAGCTTCCATGCGCATGCAAGCTCCCCGTCTAATAGTGCTGAAATCTGAGGAGGACTGACTGATGTATACATGCGATTCGCGTCTTTCTCCGTTCTTTTTTCTCAGGGGCGATCGCGTTTCCAAGCCGTTTTCGCGAATTTTAATTAATTTATCGACGTTTGCCCTATTATTCATTTGATTTAGCGTAACTGTTCATCCGAACAATTAAATATTTAAACATTAAAATAAAATCCCATTGGAGATTTCCCATAAATAAAATCTGATATCAGATGTGTTTATAATACAGTATACATTGCGTTTCGATAAAAAGAACAAACATGAAATGTAATTGAATTTCCTCCTCGGATAATTATTCCCTGCGAAAGCTTGGACACGTAAAATATTTCATCGCGATATAAAGGCCAACAATGACCTGAATCTCTTTCTTGAATTCGTGCGTCATAAAATAATAATTGGCTTCGGAGGATATTTTCATGAAATTCTTTCCATCGATATTATACTCCACGTAAGAGTCGTGAAATTCCACTTTTACAAAAACTCCGACAAAGTAGTGGTCGTTGGCGATCGGCAGGTCTGGCATGGAAAGAGCAAAAAAAGGGCCGTAATCTCATACACGGAGACTACAGCGGCTCACTCACACGTGCCCAGAACAAAGAAGTCATACGAAGGGCAGCCGCGGCTAATTGCGCTACTCTCTCTCTCTCTCTCTCTCTCTCTCTCTCTCTCTGTCTCGGAGATGCATATCGCGATCGCAAAAAGTGCTGCCCGCCACGCTTACGCACGCCCACGCGGTGCGAGCAAGAAAGAGAGAGAGAGAGAGTGATTTACCGGTCGGCCGCGGCAATGCTCTACATACACGCGTGCGCGAATGCGTGCTTCTTCCTTTTCTTCGGCGTCCCGCTCGCGCACAGATCCGACGGGGCTCTCCCCTCCTTCCCTTTTTTAATCGTCCCGGCGTTCCTTCGCTGCAAGGCCAAAAATTGCTTGTAATTACGGTTTATGCTGATTCCTCCGATCACTCGGGGATTCATTTATCATTGTCCCTCTGCACTCTGCGCGCCGATGCTCGGCCGCAGCATTTACTTTAACATCGACAGGTTTATTTTTCCTGCTCGCAAATAAACCCTAATACCATTTGCTTTCAATTACATTGCCGTGATTTACACGGTGATTTATTAAATATGCGAAACCAGTTTTGCGAACTTGAGTATCATCTGTAGGCGGCATTTTTTCATTTTTTACATTCGCAAGCGACACGCGCGCCAATTTTTGGCGTCTTTTTGCGGCGCGATCCGCAGAAAAGCAGCGTGATTCGCGAGGCTGTGCGTGTCAGCCTGCCGCATCTATAAATAGCTTAAAAGCTTACTCTAGTACGGAGCCAGATTAAAAGTGATTAATAGCAATGGAGAAGATCAATCACAATACTACGCGCGCGCATTTTCGATGGCTGTGCCGCGCAGCTATGCCTGTCCGTCCCCGTCGAACGAACAAAAGCTGACGGATCCGATGCTCGGAGAATATGCCGATCGAGTGTCGGCGTAGCCGAAATAACAGTTACACGGCTCAATTGCGAAGCGGCCGTGTAATAATTTTCGGCTGCCGCCCCGAGATATGAGAGATCGTCGCTGCGCGTTCATTAGCACCAGCTCCTCACGTCCATCAGCCTGCGGGGCCGCGCTGTCGCTGTCGTCGTCGTCGCCGCCACTCTCTGATCGTTCGTTTTCAGCATTACATTAATCACTTTTATTTCTCATCCGCGCGGACGCGCCCACAAACGATGCTGTCTTCTCAGACGACAACGCGCGACTGTTGTCAAAATATACCGTCCGATCACGTGGATTTGCACGACGCACCTCTGTCGATGTTCCCCAATCAATAATCACGAGCTATCCAGACGATGCTATCAGTCTTGACGTGCTTAATAACCCTCGCCAAACTACAGTACAGACGCACCAAAACGATAAACACATAATACCTGCTCCAGTGAACGGACAAAACATTGTCTTTTCAGCGCAACGGAGAAAAACCATGCGCCTCGCGCCTTTCCAAAGCGCTTACTGTGCAAAATGCATCTTGAGCGAGCCATATAATCATATGGCTATAAGGACATCAGGCGTCAGTCATTCGCGAGCTCGTACTTGCAATTTTCGTTTAGTGCCACGTGCACTTATCACGTGCGAGTCGAGCATCTATACAACGGAGTCGCGCCGTTTATACGTCTAACTTTTAAAATGTGAATTATGGCGCTACTGAAACGCGCACGGTAAACTGCTTACAGGCGGCTTTTCCTTGTTCAAGTTTCAATATGAAAAGGATGTACTTTATATCTTCCGCTTGATGAATTCTACGATTCGCTACATCGCTTTCAACATACATATGCACACGTAGTAACCGAATCTACCAACATCCAGCGAAGGAGGGAGAGAAAAAGAAGCATTCGTCACCAGCACCGCCTTGACAGTAAACTCGAGCGTTGCGGATGTATGCGTGTGTGCATTGGTTCCGAATGGCTGTACGGATACGTCGACTTTTGCAGGAGAGGGTCTATACACGCATCTTTGTCGCCCACGTCACTTGGACCGAGCTAATCGCGTTAATGCCCCCCCCCCCCCCTTTCTCTCTCTCTCGCGATCTACGCATAGTCCGAGAGTGCATGCAGTGCACCCTCTCATATTCCGACGTTCAATGTGATACCGTACGAGCTTCGTGTACTCGACCAATTACCGATGCCCGGTCTCTTAATCGACCAACAGCGGTCGAGACAGAGAGCTGTACGTATATTAATATTCCTCGGAAGAGACAGACTACGAATATCGATTATATGCCGTAGTTGTGCACTTGATTACGTCAAAGGCTGTCGCTTAATCGACTGTACTGCTTTGCGGTCGTATATACGCGGCAGACAGTCTGAGCTTTTTGGCAAACAGGTTACACGCTCTATTTGGCCGGTTTATTTCATGGGAATTTTTCGATCGCGCTGCTCCTATGTATTTAATAAGTGAGTCAGGATATGGATGAGTGGATGGGAAAATGGAGGTACTCGTAGATTGGTCGTTAATCATTTGAGATTCTCGAAACTGAGACGTTAAATCCATGATAAACTACAGATAAAATAAGGTATCTAAAAAACTCAGCAAAATTTATGTAGAAATATATTTTACAAAAAATAGTTCCAGCAACGTAATATTTGATTGGTAGATCACAACAATTTTTGCAAATTGTCATTGGACAAGTACTCGCAGAGATACTCGACGACCTCCAACGAGAAGATATGACAAAACATATCGTTCATCATCACCAGAACGATGTCTCTCAGCAAGTTGAATTTTTTAGCCTTTCTGTAGAAGCATCGTTTCAATATGTAACTGTAGTTGATGAACGCGTTAGTCCTCAAACCAAGCTTGAATTCCAAAACAGCGTTATCTTCGCGGAAAAGGGGACTGAGGGCGCTAGGTTTCTTCGTGACGACGTGGTAGTAGGAACACTCGTCGAGAATGTTCACCTCGCGCATTCTACTCAGTTCCGCCTGATACGAGCTCAAGCACTTCGTCCACGTGTAATTCAGCTGGTGATCTTCGCATTGACCGGCAGATTCTGGGCGAGTAGTAGAGCGACGTGCTTAATGAAAGTGAGCACCATTCTTTTGGTAAAACTGCTGGTCATCGTGTAAGCAAAGGCCGTGTGTCCGTCGCTATTCTCGATGTTGACATCGGCGCCTCGCTCCAGCAGGTATTCGACATCTTCTTGGCGTGCAAGTTGGCAAGGAGCATGTGCAAGGCGGTATTGTCGTGGCAGTCGCGCTCGTTAATAAGCGATCCATGCTCGATTAGGTGTTGCATCGTCGCGTAGTTTTGCTGGTTGATCACCAGCATCAAGGCCATCCTGCCCTGGGCGTCTTTGTGATTGATGTTCGCGCCATGATCGATGAGCATCTGCACGATTCGCGTGTTCGTGAACAGATACGCCCCCCAACAGTACTTCGTCGTCATCGTCGTCGATGTCCGTCTTGTGACGGAGCAGCAGATCCACCATCCGCTCGCTTCTGCGGATGATCGCATGCTCCAGCACACTCGAACCTTTGACGAAGACATTTGCGTCGGCGCCGTGCTCTACCAGCAGCTCCACCAAACCGCCACGGCCAAAGGCGACACATAGAAGCAGTGTTTGACGTTGATCAGTCGAGCGAGCGATTCATCCTTGTCTTGCACCGCCACGTGCAGAGCCATGGAGCCGTCGTTGTTGCGACAGCTCGGCGAGGCGCCCCGGTCCAATAGCGTTTTCGCCAGAGCAATGTGTTCCTCGCTTCTGGGCGCAACGCGTAGCGCGTAGAATAGTGGCGATTGGATTCGTTGGGTCACGACGTCTATCGACGACCCGTTCTCTAGGAACGTTCTCGTCCGCGCCTCTTGTCAAAAGATACCCGACTAGCTTGAGCTTCTCGAACTTCACCGCCAGATACACGGGCGTCTTGTCTTTCCCGTTTATTGCGTTGACCTCGACTCCCGACACCAACAGCAACTCCATCACGGAGGCGTCCGTACTGTCCTCGAGCGTGTTTTGAGTAGCGTAGTGCAACGCCGTCGATCCGTCGTCGGACGTGGCATTGACACTCGCGATTTTTCCGATCAACAGCTTGACCACTCGGACGGAGCCGTGCTAAGCCGCGAGGTGCAGGGCGTTTTGGTATTAATTAATAATTCCTCATCTCGTTCCCGTACTCGTCAGCTACGTGCAGACAATAACTGCTGTCGGCGCATTCGCAGCTCGCCCGTGATTCGTCGCTCTCGAAGGTACGAACCTCGGCTCAGCAGCAACTCGACCATCCGCAGGTCGTTGCTGACCACGACCACGCGAAGTGCCGTTTGACCTGCCTCGTTCTCCTTATCGATGTCGATGTCTTCTCGCCATGTCTTTCTTTACGTTGTCCCGTCTAGTGCCAGTCATCGCTGCAACGAAAACAAGCAACAGGTTAAAGTTAGTTCGCTTGCAACTTGGCTAATAATCCTGCTGATTTATTTGACGAGGTCGAAAGAGAGCTTATAATTAAGGTTGCGCACACAAGGTAGAGAGGCGTTTGTTAGGTAATATATGATTCAATTACCATGTACAGGTTTCGGCGTGGCGTAGCATGGCGTCTGGTACGAGCAGAGTGCAGATGCAAATCAAGTTGGAAACGTGCGGATGAAGTCTAATTTGGGCTCGAGGAGGGGGAGCGAGAGAGAGAGAGAGAGAGAGAGAGCGTTGTGCAAAAAGGCAAGGAAAAACTAGAGGCGAGCCCATCGTGAGAAAGGTCTGGTGTCGCCAAACAGGTTTGATCGTGGGGGCGGCGCAGCTCCCTCCGCGCGAATCAATGAAGAAGGCCTGAAGAAGACGCGCAGACGGAGAAGATGACGGCGAGTATTTTTGCGGTCGGTCGTGCGTCACGCGCGCACCTCGCACAGAGTCGCACACGTGTGCAAGCCAGCCGAGTCGCCAATGCATTACGCACATCGGCGAGCCATCGAGTCGTGAACCGCAATTCCGTGGACACGCAAGAAGCTGCGGCCTTGTACCGGTTTTTAAACACTCCGATGCATACACGCCGTTGCTGTCGCCTGGTTTTTAGGCTCCTCTTCGCGCGGATAAAAATTCACTGCTGCTGTAAACCTTGACAATATGGTCTTGAAATCAGAGTACCTAATTCCAATTGTGCGCTTCTTTCGGAATATATATTCCTATTTACGAATGAAAATGAATTTCGGTTGAATTTCCTGCCGACAGATTTCTAATTTGTCTGCTGATTATCGAGCTCGTCGCTCATTCCCTAACACCTGCAGGCCTTGCAAATTGTTTTCTTTTCAACGAGCGTCATTCGTCCTTTCTCATACCACTATAAATTGATCACCTTGTAATAAATTTACCTTCTGTTTGGTTCAAATAGTTTAAATAGAAGCAAATAACACGCAGTTGCTATTTAGCGTTTTTTACGATAAGATGTTGCTTGCACATGTCGGGTTTTCTTATCTCGAAAGCGATGTATTACATGAAAGAAGCCAAATGATTTTATTATAATGGCAATAAAATATATTCTTAATTAATTCTTGTACGAGTTGCTTTCTATATTACAACGACTAGCATTAAAAGCTCTTTAATACTAATAAAAAGCTCGTAGAACGATGCCCCAAGCGACGATTAGGTGGAGCATTAATATTCTTTTTTAGCCAGGGAGAAAATGAGGTATGACTCGTGAGCTAATTATCGTGGCGGATCACACATGCGGGGGACATTGCATCATCGCACGATGAAGAAAAGAAAAAGCGTGGAGGCTTAGCGTGACAAAGGAAATGAGAGGGCCGATAAGTTGCGGGAGCATAAATTAATGCTGTACTCGAAAAATACAGTGCCGCAAGCCGGCCTCTATTCACGGGCTTTTTCCCTTTGCGGAAAGCGTTTTTGTCGAGTCCTCGCGAGCTGTACTGGATTATCGCGCGGGGCCAAAGCAAGTGTGCTGCGTCATCGATTCAGCGGGCCGCGTTGCCAATAAAGCCACGCGCGGAGAGCTATAAAACGACGATGAACGAGCGCCGGCTTCTTTTTCCACCTGGGCCTTTAATAATTAACTCGGCGCTTCTTTAACGGCTCGTAAGGAATATTTTTGCGCTGCTCCCGTTGAATGATCAAGTGCACTTCGAGCCGCGACGAGCAGCGACGAGCGCAACAAAGCGGAAGAACGAAAGAACGACCGCTGGAACGCAGCCCCGTGCTGGCTTTCCAGAACCACCGACGTCGGCGGAGCGCACCCGCGCCGCTGAATCCACGCGACGGCAGCGGCTGTCGTTCAACGAAACCAAGCGGCGCGCCGAGCATCGACAGCTCGCCTACGAGTCCGTGCGTGACATTCCTGCGCCGCGAGGAGCGACGCTGGCCGGTAGGGCGTGCGCGCACACGCGCGAAACGGTCGCGATGAATCGGCCCGGGGCTGTGCGCCCGAGAATCCAGTCTAATCTCGATTCTCGACAGTGCCCTTGAAGCGCCGCCACCGAGCGACCGACCCCCGATTGGATTTCCTCTTTTGTTCGTTCCCCCGTTCGCAGCCAGATAAAGGAGAATTCCCTCTTGCCCCGAGCGTCGCCGGCTAAGCCGATATATACGACGGCCCGCGGCCAGAGAATTTCCAACTCCATCCACGCCGATGATTTCGCCCGCTTCTCTGCGCTCGCGTCGCCCTAGCTCCGAGGCTGGAGTGTTGGCGCACGCGACTCGGCCGAGAGTGGAGATCCGTGTTCTCGCGTTTGTGCGGGCGCACTCTGAGAGAGGCAATTTTTCGCGAATTTTCATCCATCGAAGACGAGCAGCAAGACGTTGCGTCGAGCGAACGACGAGTCGCCAGTTGTTCCCCGCGATCCGCGAGCGCGCGAAAGTCGCAGGTCCGCGTCCGGCCGGGAAGGAGCAGAGCACGCGTGCTCTCGCGGGGCCGAGTTCGAGAGGCGCGAATCGAGCGCAGCGCCGCTCGAGCCAGGAGGGTTGTGCAGGTTCCGTATTGATTCCGCGTCGGATGATTCATGGGCTCTCTTTCTCCTTCCACCTCCAGCGCCGCCACTGCCGACCGCTTGCAACCCCGTTGTATTCTAAGCGAGCCGCCCTTCTCTTCGCTCTCTCTCTCTCTCTCTCTCTCTCTCTCTCTCATTATCCGCCACCCCCCGTCCCCTTCCCACGCGCACTTTTGACGAATTCGTGATTTCCCGCGGAGACCCGCCGCAGCTTGCACTTTCAGCCTCGTGCTCTCAGCCCTTGTTCAAACACTCGGGCTGTTTTCACTTGTATCGTCGCAGAGATTCATCTGTCCAAGCGAACGCACCACGGAATGACCGTAGTGCCAGTACATCGTAGTACAGGCGGAGAAGCGCGGACGGTGCGCTACGGCACTGGCCCCTGCTCGCACGCGCATGACTCACCGATGATTCACGGAATCTTTCCGGGCTTTTTCGCTTTGGAGGCAAGTTAATAACTAGCGTTCATCGCTGTACCTACGCGACGTGCAACCGCGTTATTTACACGGCGTGGACGAGTGCCACGTTTCCGGAGCCTGACGGAGGCAAAAGTGAAAGAACGCACGAGTATTAACGGTGAAATTCGGCGGACTGCCATCGATTTTCATTGTCGCATTTTTTGCATCCCTCCCCTCTCCGGCACGCGCGTCTGCGTATATATATATATATATATATATATATATATATATATACACACGGAGGCGGCAGTTGGCGGGGCGAGGGGTAGTCGCCAAGGGGAATCCTACGCCACAGCGGAGAGGACGAGAGCCGGCATGGGGGAGATATTGGTCGACGACAGTCGCGCGCGACCGACGACGAGCCGACTGGCACTTCGCACGCATGTATCCCCATAGATGTATGTAACACACGTGTATAGATAGAAGTATTCGGCAGCGTTAGCAGACGCGTCGAATTGACTTAGTTTGGTCTTTATAATAAAAAAGAAAAAAAAAAGAAAAAGAAATGTAGTTTTCACTCGACGTTGTAGAATAGCATGCGAAAGTGAAGCGAGGCAGGGTGAGTCATATTCGTCGAGCTCCACGTCTCGCACGCGTGAGCACTTTGCAGCGTTCGACGAGAGTATAACCTTGGATAAAGCTAAGAGATCATTCAGACGAGGGAATGCTCTCCCTCCTCCCGCATCCTCATTCGCGTGCTTTGCAGCTCTATAGACGAGTTTTTGTTGGCTCGGTATACGAGCGTAGAGCGAGGATCGATTGCCAGACACTCGCAGTTTGTCGTCGATTATGCTAATCCGACGAGGAGCGCGCGCGCGCCCTTTATTAAATTGGTATACTTGCCACAAAGACAGACGCAGTCGACGAGCTGTATGCCAAATTACGACGGCGCTGTCGTTGGACACGATTTTACCGACGTTTGGATTCGATGAATTTCCGAAGGGTACGCGCCCCACCTCCCATTCCTTTCTTCCCCGAATGGTCCGAACCGTTACAATATTTTTCGGCGCTGCTCGTAAAGTGCGTAACTTACACTCGATTGACCCTGCAACACTGTCGCCCGAACAAACTTTAAATCACCATGCTTGCGTGTCCGGCAAGAGTGCGATAAATTCGAATCTTTACGAACAATTATTTGACGTTTATAAACACATAAATTACTCGTCCCTTGGAAATGTTGACTTGGCCTGGACTGCTTTGTGTGGCGCGTAACCCCTTCTCGTCGGCCACGTGGCGGCTTCATACATCAAAGGTAAATACGCGTATATATATGCGCACCCTCCCCATGGATTGGTAACACACGATAAGAGTTTCGCCAAGCTTATTGCGATAAATTAACTAAGCCGCTTAGCTTACGCTTCTCGTTTTCGAAATCAATCAGATGACGCGCGGCTGGAAATTGCATTAGAAAAGTATCACCATTGCAAATCGCAGGACGACAAACTTACAACTGAAGTACTCCGTGTGGAAGGCAGCATTAGGCGAAGAGCCATAAAAAGCGTCGGCAAAGACAGAAAGAGAGAGAGAGAGAGAGACA